CTCTTTTTCTGGGGCCAGAAATATACTAATACCAAAAGCAGACAATAACATTATAAAAAAACTTAGAGAAAAAAGAAACACAAAACAAACCTTAGAGACCAATAGCTCTGATTAACATAGAAGTAAAAATCCTCAACTAAATATTAGCAAACTGAATCTAATAGTGTATAAAAAGAATTATACATCACGACCAAGTGGAATTTGTCATAGGTATGCACGGCTGGTTTAACTTCTGAAAATGAGTTAATGTTGGGGCGGCTGGGTGGCTCAGTTTTAGGCGTCTGCCTTCGGCTCAGGTCATGATCCCAGGGTCCTGGGATCGAGCCCCGCATTGGGCTCCCTGCTCCGCAGGAAGCGTGCTTCTCCCTCTCCCACTCCCCCTGCTTGTGTTCTTTCTCTCGCTTTGTGTCTCTCTGTCAAATAATAAAATCTTAAAAAAAAAAATAAAAAAAGAAAATGAGTTAATGTTATCAGTCACATCAACAGGCTGAAAAAGAAAAGTCATGCAATCGTATCAATAGATGCAGAAAAAGTATTTGATAAAATCGAAACCAATTCAATACAAAAACTCAGTAAACTGGAATGGAGGATAATTTTCTCAAACTGATAAAGAATATCTTCAAAAACCTAACAAGAATTAATATTGTTAAAATGTCCATATACCCAAAGCAATCCATATATTCAATGCAACTGCTATCAAAATTTCAATGGCACTTTTCACAGAAATAGAACAAACAATCCTAAAATTTATAGGGAACCACAGAAGTCCCCAAAGAGTCAAAGTAATCTTGAGAAAGAACAAAGCTGGAGTCATCATGCTCCCTGATTTCATACTATTTTACAAAGCTGTAATAATTAAAACAGTATGGTATTAGCATAAAAAAAGGCATACAGATCAGTAAATAGAACAGATAGCCTCAAAATAAAGCTATGCATATATGGTCATTCTATGACAAAGGAGCCAAAAATATAAAATGAGGAGAGGACAGTCTCTTCAATAACTGAACTTGGGAAAGAACTAGAAAAATAATACTAAAATTTGTATGGAACCACAAAAGACTCTGAATAGCCAAAGCAATCATGAGAAAGAACAACAAAGCTAGAGATACCACAGTCACAGATTTCAAGATATACTACAAAGCTATAGTAATCAAAACACTATGGTACTAGCACAAAAACAGACACAGATCAGTGGAACAGAACAGAGAGCCCAGAAATAAACCCATGCTTATATGGTCAATTAATCTGACAAAAGAGACAAGAATATACAATAAGTAAAAAAGAGTCTCTTCAACAAATGGTGCTGAGAAAACTGGACAAGCTTTCTTACACCATGCGTAAAAATAAACTCAAATGGATTAAAGACCTAACTGTGAGACCTAAAACCACAAAACTCCTAAAAGAAAGCATAGGCAGTAATCTCTTGGACATCAGCCTTAGCCACATTTTCATGGATATATCTCCTCGGGCAAGGGAAACAAAAGCAAAAATAAGCTACTGGGACTATACAAAAGTAAAAAGCTTTTGCACAGCAAAATGAAAACACAACCTGCTGAATGGGAGAAGATATTTGCAAATGATATATCTGATAAGGGGCTAACATCCAAAATATATAAAGAACTTCTACAACTCAACACACACACACACACACACACACATAACTCAAAAATAGTCCAATTAAAAAATGGGCAGAGAACCTGAATGGACATTTTTCCAAAAAAGACAGATGGCCAACAGACAAGTGAAAAGATGCTCAACATCACTAATTATCAAGCAAATGCAAATTAAAACCACAATGAGATATCACCTTACACCTGTCCAAATGGCTAGAATCAGAAGGACAACAAATAACAACTGTTGGTGAGGATGTGGGGAAAAGGGAACCCTTGTGCACTGTTGGTGGGAATGTATATTTGTGCAGCTATCATGGAAAATTAAAACTATTCTATGATCCAGCAATCCCATTTCTGGGTATATATCCAAGGAAATGAAAACAGGATGTACTGTACGTCCATGTGCACTGCAGCATTCACAATAGCCAAGATATGGAAACAACCTAAGTGTCTATCAGTAGATGAATGGATAAAGAAGATGTGGTATTTTTTTTTTTTTTTAAGATTTTATTTATTTTTTAGAGAGTGAGGAGAGAGAAACAGCATGAGAGGGGAGAGGGTCAGAGGGAGAAGCAGGCTCCCCGCTGAGCGGGGAGCCCGATGTGGGACTCGATCCCAGGACCCTGGGATCATGACCTGAGCCGAAGGCAGATGCTTAACCAAGGAAGATGTGGTATATTTATATACTGGAATATTATTCAGACACAAACTGCAAGAATATCCTGCAGTTTGTGACATGGATGGACCTAAGGGCATTATGTTAAGTGAAATAAGTCAAACAGAAAAACACAAATACCATATGATATCACTTTATGTGGAATCTAAAAGAGCTGAACTCAGAAACAGAGACTAGAAAGATGGTTACCAGGAACTAGGGTGTGGTGAAATGGGGAGATGCTGAAGATGTTAAAGAGTACAAATTTCCAGTTGTAAGATGAATAAATCCTGGGGATCTAATGTACAGCATGGTGATTATAGTTGATACAGTATGATATATTTGAAAGATGCTAAGAGTAGATCTTAAATGTTCTCACCACAAAAAAGAAATGGTGATTATGTGACATGATGAAGGTGTTAGCTAAGCTATGGTGGTAATCATTTTGCAATATAAAAGTGTATCAAATTAACTTGTACATCTTAAACTTACACAATGTTGTATGTCAATTATATTTCAATAAAGCAGGGGGTGGTAAATGTAAGTAAGTAAATAAGTAAACTAGTATTTCCTCTTGAGCCTACAGGGAAACATAACAAGAAGCAAGTACACTTTGTTGTCTAATTGTGCAATAATATTTAAAAATTTTTTGGAAAGTCTAAATTTTATCTGAATTATTTTAGATCTAAGTATATTTATATATACTTCACAAATATATAATATTTTAGATTTTCTTATAATTTGATATTTTATTAAAAAATAAAATTCATTTATATTTTCTAACATCTAAGAATGGAACATTTACTTTACGAAGGAGAATGAAAAGATTTGCTTTCTCATCCACAGCTGTTTCATTGGGAAAAGATGAAACCAATACACCAAAGATTTCCCCGACTCATGACAGGGAGACGTGTACACCAAAGGAACGGAGCTAAACTGTAAGTGAAAGCAAATATGAAGAAAGCTATCTTTCCCTTGGTTTCATAGATGTTACTAATTTACCTTATTATGCCTTACTGAATAGAATGTTTTCAAATACTATTATGGTGCTAGCTTACTGTGGCATCAATTGTGAGATCAATCATTCAGAGTCGAAACAAAAAGGAATTAAATAATTCGAACACAGATGTAATGTTAATATTTCATCAAAAGAATTATACTTCTGCCTTAAAAGCAGACCTCTCGATATGGCTGAACTAGCTGTGTTGGTTGTATTCATCTCGTATCAACACGGAGAACAGGAGTTCTGTTAAATGAGCAGGGCAGTACACACACAGGGTAGAGAAATACTTAAAGTGTTGAATAACTATTTTGAATCTCATGGTTTTTCCTGGAACAACTGTGTTGATATTTGCACTCATAGTGCAAAAGCACTAGCAAGTAAAACTACTGTGCCCAGCATGAGTCAAGCAGAGGAAGTAGTCACTGTATTCTCCACTACTACATACAGTAATAACAGTGCCAGTTTCACACAAAAATGTGTTTGAGGAAGCAGTATAAAATATTAATTTTACTAAATTTTACACTTGAGAATACTTTTTATAAAAAAACATTCTGTGTGGTGAAAAGGAAAGCATGCATACTACACTTCTGCTGCATAACAAATCAGGATGGTTGTCTGGAGGAAAAGCACTTGCAACTGTATGAGCTGCAAGATCAACTAGCCACCTTTTTGTAATGGAAATTTACTTGAAAGAATGGCAGACAAACAGTGGTTACTCAGAATTGAGTATTTGGCACATACTTTCTCAAAAATTAGTGAAATGACCTTTGTACCTCAAGGAAAACAAATGACAGTATTTTGTAGCCAATGATAAATTTGAGTTTTTAAGTAGAAATTTTAATCTTGGAGAATTTGTTCCTGCCAATATGAGGTTGAAAAGCTTCCTAATACCTAAAGATATTTCTGATGAGATTGGTGCTGACAAGAATGAAAGTGTTGATGCTATAAAATGAAGTATGTCAGGTTTAGAAGATCTGCATAACTTAATAAACCAATATTTCCCAAATGAAGCATGCATTCAAAAACCAGGCTACAAAATCCTGCTTGGGCAGAAGAGCTATTAAAAGTATACCACCAAAAAACCCCCAACCAAACAAAAAAGTATTCCTCAGATATTCAATGGGTTTTAATGTAACAGTATGAAAAGCTCATTGTTATAATTTCAGATTCTGCATAGCAACTAACCTTAAAACACTACCATTTTCAAACTTTGGTGAGGTATCTATCCAAGGAGAAAATCCAAAATTATCTGAGATGGCTACTGCAATATTCTTGTCTTTTCCAACTGTGTATCTGTGTGAGGCTGGATTTTCTTCATATACTTAAACCAAAACAACATATCACGTCAGACTGAACAGAAACACATATGAGAACCAGCTGTCTTATGTCAGATAATAAAGAGATGTGCAAAAATATAAAACAATGCCACTCCCGTAAACAATTTTCTTCTTGGAAAAGATCACTTTTTCATAAAAATATGCTATTTGTGTGAACATGTAATCAATTTATTATTTTTAAATGAAGTAATAAATATTCTTAAAACTTGTTTTAATTTCAAGCATGGTAAAATATTGATAAATAAAACCCACATTGAAAAAAAAAAAAAGCTTATCGGATCCTCAATAATGCGGTGCTGAAACCAAAAGTTTGAAAACTGCATTTCCAATATACTGAAGCATTCTAAGAAAGGAAAAACAAAGCTGATTGAGAGTAAATGGACATCACTTACAGCAGAAAGGCCTCATTCACAGCATCAAAGAACTCAGGCCAGAGCACTTCCTGAGGTTCATATCCATGGTAGGTGAGCAGAGCCTCCACCAGGGGTTCAATATCTGGTAGAGTTACAAGTGGTATACAAACTCGTGACAGGAACCTTATTTTTTCAGGAACCATTCTATGGAATAAATAAGAAATAATTATCCAAATCTTAGAGCCACGTGTAATTAAAGACAGAAAATCTTCATGCTGAAGACTGATGACAAGTTACTTGCTTTGTCTCTCACATAAAGAAGGCTAACACCATCAATGAACCTTTCTCTTACTCAACTCTCCAGGAAGAAATCCTTTAGTTGAATTTCCCATTTTGACATCACTTACTGTCAGGACTTTGGCATAACTATCTACAGGCACCTCCAATTTACCATGCCCCAAACAGAACTCTTGAATTCCTTCTCCAAATGTTCTCTTCCCCAGTGCTGCTGATCTCATTTGCTCAGGTGAAAGCCCTTCAAGGTCCCCCCTTTCTCGTGCGCCTTACCAACCAGCAGTAAATACTGTTAATTCATTTGATGACCTCTTCACTCCATCACTACCCACTAATTCACCATCACCTGTGGTCTGAGTTACTGTAGGAGCCTTTTAACTTTCTCCCTACTTCTGCCCTCATCCCCAATGTTTATCATCAGAATAGTTCCAGCAACCCTTTAAAAATTCAGATCACTTCACTTGTCTGCTCAAAGCTTTGCAATGGCTTCCCACCTCAGAGAACAAGCAAAGTCTTATACTGGCCGCTGTGGCCTTCCATGATGGTGGCCCCTTCTGTTCCTCTGGCTTCATTTTCTTCTACTCTTTCCCTTACTCATCCTGCCCCAGCCTTACAGGACTTCTCCAACTACTCCAGATGAGGTCCTGGTTTTCATTCTGCCTGGAACCCATGGCTAGCTCCTTCATTTCGTATAGGTCTCAGTTCAAGTGTTGCCTTATTCATGTGATGGCATCCCTGACTATCCCATTCAAATGCACTGACCAATATGGTAGCAGTGAGCCACATGTGGTAATTTAAATTCAAATGAAATAAAATTTAAAATTCCATTTATCAGTTGCACCAGCCTTATAACAAATGCTCAGCGGGTACATGAGGCTAGTGGCTTACAGTATTAGACACTGCAAATTTCCAGAACTTGTCCATAACTGCAGGAAGCACCACTGGACAGCAGAGCTTAAACATAGAAAGTGCCCTCCCACCCCATCTATCTATCTTACCGTTTTACTTTTCTTCAGAGTACTTTTCATCACCTGACCTATAATGTATTTATTTATTTTTCATCATCTGTTTCTTCCTCCTAGGATATCAGCTTTATGAGGACACGTCCTTTTTTCTGTTTTGCTCTCTGCTCCAGTCCCAGCATGAAGGAACCAACTCCTTACACATATTACATGCTCAAGAAATAGATGTTAAATGAATAAACAACTAGAGATCGATACAATGAAAGTTTGAGATACAGGCTATTAGATCTTTTTCTAGTTATATTCATATATAATCATAAATCTAGAAATTTAGTCTTGTGTTTTCTGAAAAACAAATGGAACCACAACAGAAAACAAAAACTGTCCCCCATTTTTTTTTACTTGCTGCCTATTATTAAACAAATATGTGTGTTCTGACAATGTCCTTATTTATAGACATTTAGGTTATTTCTGATTTCTCACCATTACAGACACTGCTACAGTGGTATCCTTGCACATGCCTATCTGGGACCCTGTGTCAGCATTTGCATATGAAATTGCACTCCAAAAGATGACCAGTTTCCTTTTTCCCAAACTCCAACCCAAGTGCATAATCTCCTTGCACTACATTCAAATATATCTGACATTCTACCACTTTCATCATCTTAAAAGAAGTTTCTCCTAGAACCCTCTGACCTGTTCCAATCCAGGCAGGTCACTTTTTATTCCCTCTGTACAGTTATCATCTTGGGATCTCTGTCCTGGGGATTTCCTTCACTTCTTTCCTGAACCCTGTATCTTTTTCTTTCTTGGTTCATTCTTCTTATGTGGGAAAAGGTAGATGAGAGATAAAGTATTTGAGACTTTGCATGTCTCGAAATATCTTTATTTTACGTTCACACTTGATTGATACTTTGGCTGAGTACAGAAATCTTATAATTTTCCAACGAAATCGTGAAGGTGTGGTTCCACTGTCTTCTAGCTTCCAGTGTTGTTCCTGAGAAGGCCCATGCTATTATGAATCTTTATTCTTTATATAAGTCTTGTTTTTACTCCCTTGAGGCTTTTGGAAATTCTCTTTGAAATTTCACACTGATGTGTGTTGGTATGGATTTATTTTTATTCATTGTGCTGGGCACTCAGTGGAGCTTAAACCAGAAAAGTTCTCTTGGATTGTTTCTTTAATAATTTTCTATCTATTCTTTGATCTGTTCTCTCTTTATGAGAACTCCAATGTTTTTGAATATTGAACTTCCTGGACACTTTTCTGTCTTATTTTTCATTTCTTGGTCTTTTTACTCTAGATTTTGAAAGAACTGTTCAAATTTATCTTCCAATCCTTTTTTTTTTTTTTTAAAGATTTTATTTATTGAGAGAGAGAGCATGAACAGGGGGAGAGGGGCAGAGTGGGAGGAAGAAGCAGACTCCCTGCTGAGCAGGGAGCCTGATGCGGGGCTCGATTCCAGGACCCTGGGATCATGATCTGAGCCGAAGGCCCACTGAGCCACCCGGGCACCTCCCAATCCTTTTATTATGGTTTTCATCTCTCGTGATTCATTTACAAGAAGTTTTTTTTAATAGCCTAGATGTTCCTTTTCTTTTTTTAAAATAGCATCCTGTTCTTATTTAATGGATATAATGTTACCTTTTATTTTTATGCAGGCACTGATATTAATTTACTTCAGATAGTCTTTTCTTTGAATAATTTTTTATTTGTATTGCTATTTTTTCATATTATATGCTTAATATGATTTCCTTAAATATCTGGTGACCACTGCTGGTCTGCTTATATATACATGTATTTTTTTTTTTGAGCTGGGTACAGTATACTTTATTAACGATATATCACAAGATAGGTCTCCCTGAGCCCTTCCCCTTCTTCAGGGGGTCTGGGATAGAAATTGTGTAGAGGTCAGGAGATTCTCAGTGTGTTGAATTTTAACTTAAAGATTACTGAGAATACCAAAGAACTTTTGTTTATGAGGTTGTAACTTTCAACATTTATGATGTTTGAAATTAAAGCAGAGACACCTGAAAATACTTATTCACTAAAAGTAACAATGATAAACTCATTAGATGTTAACATGAATAACATTTTTTGTTAAACATAACGGTATTTTACAAGACAAAAATAAAATAGTGAGAAGAGTGGCACTCATTTAAATGTTTGTAAATCTTACTATATGGCCTGAAAGAAGACGCTTGGATTCTTGTACACATTTCTACATTCAATCTGTTGCACTATGTTTTGAGCAAAGTATATGAATAAAGCCTAGCCCCACAAAGATATATGGTTTTCAAAGGCAGGAGTATTTTAATAGCCTCTTCATATAACTGTGCATATTATCTTTTGATACTAGACCAAAACTCATCAAGCACTGCCCACCCCTCCTACTACAAGCCTGTCTAGGAATGCAGGTACAGCTGCCCATCGTGTGTCTAGGGGATTGGTGATGGGTAGTCTCTATCATGATAACAGCTGAAATTTACTGGCCAAACCATCCCCCCAAAGCTGCAAGTCTTCAAGCAGACTCCAGAGTTCCAAAACAGTTACATCAGGCAGAGTCTCTTAGTAAAGTTCTGGTCTAAGTAAAGAGGTGGATTCCTGGCCCTTCTTACCCCATCATCTTCCCCCATAACCCACTCTGATCTCTTATATTAAAAAGGAAAAACAAAACCAAAAAACCCCACCTTCTTACTTTCTACTTCTCTGTCCTTCTGTACTTTCTCCTAGGAGAACTATTTGGCTCAGTCTTTGAAGTCATTATTTGCTATTCAGCTCTATCTCTTTAGCCTTTTATTCATTTTTTCCTATAAGTCCCCTTTTTAGAAATGTAACCAATTTATTCGTATTTCAAGGATTTGGAAGTTTCTCTTATTATTCTTAGGGCAATTAATTATACCGTTAAAAAAAACACTTGTTTGTCCAACATAATCCATTTAATTAGTGTATTTGCATCTTCTGTTTTGTTGCATTTAGTTCATTTTTCTTCATGGTGTTGGTTTTCCATGAGTATCTGGTGATTTTTTTGTTTGCTCTTTCTGGAATTTGGGATTCCCCATTAGCCTCCCCAGGAATGCCTTTTACTATAGCTTCCTCTGGAGGTCAGGATGTAGTGCTGGTTGGGGTTGCCAATAAATCACACTCTGCACATTGGAGCACCCCCAGAACTGTTGGGAATTAATAGCCATTTGGTGCTTACTTCTCCAAATCTTCCTCCCTCCTTCCTGCTGGAAACAGGACATTTCTGTTGTCTCTTGTTTGAAGGCAGTGGATAAGGAGGAGTGTATGAGGACCCAGCCCATAGTTGGATTATGTGAATTGCAGTAGTCCCAACAAGCTGTCTTGTTGGCTGCCATGTACCCTCCTGTTCCATGAATCCACCCCAGCGTTACTTTTACCTTTGCAGTAGTCCTCTCTTGCAAGCTTTGTGGGCTGTGATATTTTCCTTCAAAAATATCCCACTACCTGCTATTTGAAGCCTTTCCTGTAATTTGTGGGTTGTCAAATGCTCCCTTGTTTTACAGTATTATATACTTAATTGTTAAAAATGCCCCCATCATTTCTAGGAGTTGGAGTATAAAGTGAATGCTAGGCCATGTATGAACTTAGTTCATCACTTGATTTAGTCTCTTGCATTACATTTTCATCTGATTAGATTAGGAGAGCCACTCTTCTTCATAGGTCTTACACTTTATTTAAAAAAATTTATTTTTATTTGGGACACAGAGAGAGAATGCAAGTGAGAGCACATGCATGAGTGGGGGGAGGGGCAGGCAGAGAGAATCTCCAAGCAGACTCCCCGCTGAGCAGAGCCTGATGATGTGGGGTTCGACCCCACGACCCATGAGATAATGAGATCATTACCTGAGCCAAAACCAAAAGTCAGATGCCTAACTCACTGAGCCACCCAGGTGCCCCAGGTCTTGTACTTTAATCTTCAGGAT